CAGCTTTAATTGTTCCTTTATGAATATCTTTACATCCTTTGCAGGTGCAAACAATCCATTTTGGCTTCTTTTTCTTGCAGATCCCTCTGGATGTAAACAGCTATTTAAAGCGATGCAATAGAATCTCACTTAAGATTTTAGGACTTTCTTTGTAACACATAAACATGCTGGGACCTAAAACACACACTGACTTAAAGTTTTGGGTAGGGGTGTAAATAATAATCGTTTTGTAACGATCCAACAGCCGACGATCCGATGCATCAAGAGTATCCATTCATGTTTTTTTCCCCCTCCATTTTTATCCATTTGCTCCTGGATGTAAATCTGACTCCCATGCTGCAGTGGCACTAAACCAATTTTGCCCTCCTACCTCGCTTCCTTTAGCCACTACCCTCTTTCCGCTTGCAGTATTTTTTTATGCAAGGCCTTTCACAATTATTGTTTTTCAGTGAATGAGGTTTTTATAGGCCTAGGTAGAGTACAACTTTGATTCTTCTGTTATTTGCTGTTGTTTCTCAAATAAAATGCATAACAATATTACAGCTTTTATGGATTCATATCAAATTTGAAACATTGTCCAGCCTGTAAGGTTAAAAAAAAATGAACTAAGTAATCAAATCGTATCGTGGTGTATTCTTGGGTATCGAAAATAATCAAATCGTTGGGTTGGAAATTGATACTGAATTGAATCGCCATGATGGGTGTAATTTCCACCCCCAGTTTTGGATCAGGGTCTTGTTGGAAACAGAATGTCAGCCCTGGTAGAAACTTTTATCCAGAGTCCAGAGTGCCCACTGCTAGATCGCAATGTTTATAAATATTTATTTCACGTCATGTGCCCCATCCAATGCAGATCATTGATGCCATACACATCTAGTGAAAACTAGTGTAATTAGATGAGTCATATAACGCAAACACTAATTGGTTAGCTAAAGGAAATCATCAGAAGCAAGCAGGTGTTCTTCAAACTGCAAACGTGAATTGTCTATGCCATGCTACAATGTCCAATTCAGAAAAAGATGTTGAAATGTCTGCAAGGTCGGACACAGGCGAGAGCCTATCGGGAGACGGAGACCAACAAGACCATCATCTTGGCCCTATCTCAAAGAATTTTTCAAAATAGTCGAAAAATTGAGCTTTCTATTCATTTAGTTGCATCTGGCTGTTATTTATAAAGGTTACTTTATACTTTAAGAATTTTTGGAGCACATACTTTTTCACATTTACTTGAGTAAAGAGGTCAAGTTGATATTTCAACTTAAGTAACAAATGTGTGTACTTTTGACTCAAATATTTATGATATATATAAAAGTGTTGCACTGATATCGATACCAGTATTGGTATCAATCCGGCACTAAAATGGTGGTATCGGTATTGGCGAGTACCAACAAATAGGGCACCGATACCATTTTGAGAGCCCAAAGTTTATTCAACTATTGTCACCCATTCCAGGTCGGCAATAAAAAGTTCCACTGGATTCTCTCTGTATTAGTCTTTTTCCTGGTTCACTAAGGTAGGCAGCAGCTTGACAAAGCCATGATGGCAATTATTTTACATCCAAGTAGTATGCAGTTCTTTATATATACACACACGAGTTTGTATCGGTATCAGCCGATACTGCACAACCAGGTATTGGGGCCAAAAAATGGCATCGGTGCAACACTAATCAATACCTGATCAAAGTTCTTTCAAAATATTTACTGCATCTCCTAAATGGTCAGTGTCAAATTTCAAACTATATTGGTGTCAAACTTTCTAAAAAATATATTTTTTCCCATGCATGTTTTTAATAAATTCTTCCTCCAGAATCCCAAATGACCTTTTAAGCGAATGGCTTTGATTGGATAGATTCTCAGTTGTATCATGCTCATATTTTAATGGGATTGATTTATTTGGGGGTATCAAAGTAAAGGGAACTGATAAATTAATTAAATCAAATTAAAATAATTTTTATGTGTGAATTACCTTTAATTAAATCATTTTTTTTCCTTCCAATTTCACATTAAATCCAGGTTTGTCAGGTAAGAAAGGGGTTTCTGACATAAGCTGCAAGGAAAACAAACCAAGAACTGTTTGCTGAGGGAAGATGCTGAAGTAATTCTGTGATAAAACAATAAATAAAGCACTGAACTTAAGCTGGAGTTCTATGATATACTTATATCGACAGTTACTGTTAAATACAGGTTTTTTTTTTCATTAATTACAAAACAGAACAAAAAAAATCGTTTAAGACAACACAATTTTAAGAAGCAGAATAAAGAAAATCGTATATTGTTTGCCTCTCAATTCAAAAAATTAAACGAATAATGTTTACATGATAAATACTTTATTTTATAAAAGCCCAAAGTAAGCCAAATATAATAACTGTTCAATTATATTTAGATAAAATGCTCACAGTCTCTTGGTTGGATGTTTATGCTAAACTTAGCCTCCATTAGCACAGGTTTACACACTTACCTCGTTGAATATCGTGTTTAGTTTCCCGGACATAATCATCCGGGTTCCTGGAGAGGACTTTAACTTTCATTTGATGGCCGAACCAAGAGCAATAAAAGCAAAAAGACGGTTATTTTTTATAGAAACTGACTGTTAGCAAGGAAGATACAACCTAGCTGCCATGTGTTGATGGTGAAGAAGCAGGCAGGTCGGCGCGCTGCATTGTGGGATGTCTGGTCCTCCTAGTTACGTCACCGTAAAAAAAAAAAAAAAAAGGCAAGTTAGACACTTTAGATAGAGGACAACCCGGAAATTCCTTCTGTTTTTATTTATTTTTTATTGCAAACATAGAACATATGAACAAAACAGAACATTCATGATGATATATATATATATATATATATATATATTTATTTATTTATTTATTTAGCATTATTATTATTTAGCTTTAGCATTTGAGCTAAATTTTAAGGATTGTATATAGATATTAATAGAAGATAGTAAAATCTGGAAATTTGTTTTTTGTTGTAAATATTAGGAGGTGTGAATATGATATTTACCATAGATAATAAAAAAAAATTAACAACATATAAAAATTGTGCTTTGATAAGTTCACATTTCCCCATCAATCAGTAAAATTGATATTAATTTAATGGGGGAAAAAATGGACAAATCTCTCCACAATATTTTGGTACAGTTAAAATCCAAAAAATCCAATTTATATATTTTTTTTATCAAAAATACTTTAACAGAATAAACCTTATGAATAACTTTATAAGAAACTTCTCTTACTTTATTGATTATCAAATATTTTTTAAGGAGAAACCAAGTCCACTTCTAATTTAGGTTTTTTTTTAAATGCTAGAGCAGTAAAATATACAAGCAGGTGAAAAAGCAACATCTCGTAATAGAATATTTCTTAACTTTGCATTGAGAGAATTTCATGTGTCAGTAAAGATGATAAAAGCTTTAATGACCCACTGGGGATTGCGTCAAAGACAACAGCATAGGAAATACCTTCATTTGATATTCTTCTTTTTCTTTGTAGGTGTTTGTCAGTTAGAAACGAAATTAATTTGTCCCTCATTGGGCATTTTGTAAACCAAGTGGGGCAGTCTAACCAATGAAGGAGCTGGTTACATCTTAAGACCAAATGTGATTGGTTTAACTAGTGTGCCAAGGAATCAGAAGGATCATTTAAAGGGTACATATAGAGAGTGAAGTTAAAAGAAGGAAAACTTAAAACTAAGTCATTCTGTAGTTTATTTGGCAAAAAAAAAAAAAATCACATGTGAAGGAGGTCACAGAGTTAAATTATACTAGAATAAGTATTAAAGGTGTAAGAGCCAAAAAGCAAAAAGAGATAGAATATGCAAAAAGATATGTACAATTCATTGTGAATGTGCAGCACCAGGTTAGTCAGAGCTGCGTAAGGCACGGGAGCATAAAGTTTTCTTACCGTGCATCTTCTGATTTGTAACCCTCTTTATTTTCTAACTAAGAAACCTAAAAGAAGTTGTCATGTCGCGCGCATGAAGAAATGACTGTGTGTGCAGCTCTAAGTGGCAAACTGAAGAAAGATTGCCACTACAAAAGGTGAGAGGAAAGGAAGGCACAGGGTCAGGGAAGCCAGCCTATTGAACCGGACCACCTGAAATCTAATTATTGTTCTTGGTATAAATTTCACCAGCCTTCAGTATTTCTTTAGCAATTTTGTAAAAGGGTTAGGGCTTTTTAAGTTAATCTATACCTAAAAATGACCTTTGTTTCTTAGAAAAGATGACACAATACAATATTCATAGTCACTGAGCGAGTAAGCTTCCACCCTACATGAAATCTTTTATCTTTTAATAAACCCCTGAGATCGTCCAGAATGCTCACTCCTATCTTATTAGACTCTAGTTCCTCACAGGTTTAAGATGGAAGATTATTAATTTTGTGCCTAATGAAATCTTTATGTGGACCAAATGACCCAACTGACTGGTTAAGTCAACCAGATTTTATTTTATTTTTACTTTATTTAAATCTGCATTGCTGATTTCGAGATGCCAAAATATTTAAATGAGCAGAGCTGCCAAGTTTGATTAAAT